GCTAAAAGGTTTTAAATCTGCTGCCAAAGATCCAGGTTGGTTAGCTGCCATGAATGAGGAGTTAATAACATTACATTCCAACAAAACATGGGATCTTGTTCTGCGCCCACCAAATCACAACATTGTTGGAACCAAATGGGTATTTCAAACGAAATATTTGTCTGATGGCTCCATCGATCGTCTCAAAGCTCGCTTAGTGGCACAAGGCTATACACAGACTTCGGGCTTAGATTATAGTCACACCTTCAGTCCTGTCGTAGAAGCAGCTACTGTACGCGTTATTCTCACCCTCCCGGTGATGAAAAATTGGCCTCTACATCAACTAGATGTCAACAATACCTTCCTAAATGGATACCTATCAAATCAACCTCCTGGCTTCATAGATCCTCGATTCCCTAACCATGTTTTTCGCTTGCGCAAAGCTCTTTATGGCCTTAAACAGGCTCCTCTAGCATGGTTCCAGAGATTCAGTGCCTTCATTCTCAAACTTGGTTTTCATGGCAGCAAGACAGATCCATCACTCTTTGTCTTTCATCAACAATCTGTCACCTTATATCTCCTTGTATATGTGGATGATATTATATTAACTGGAAGTAATCAATTGGCCATCAATAACATTCTAACCAAAATCAATACAAAATTTGCTGTCAAAGATCTAGAAAGACTGAGTTACTTTCTGGGCCTCGAGGTACATTACACTCCCACTGGTATTTTTCTTAGTCAAACTAAATATGCACACGATATTTTGAGCAAGGCGAAAATGTTAGATGCCAAACCAGTGGCCACACCTCTTGCCCCTGATATTCATTTAACAAGCAATGGTGATCCGTTTCATAATCCAACTCTTTATCGATCTTTGGTGGACGCTCTTCAGTACCTCACAATCACTCGCCCAGATCTTTCTTTTGCTGTCAACAGTGTCAGCTAGTTCCTCCAAGCTCCAACTATTGATCACTTCCAAGCTATGAAGCGAATATTGCGGTATGTTCAGGGAACATTGTCCTTTGGTTTAACCTTTACCCGTGGGTTTGCTCTCACTGTTCTTGGATACTCCAATGCTGATTGGGCTCGCTGCATTGAGACTCGCCGCTCGACCTATGGATACTCTATCTACTTAGGAGGAAATCTTGTGTCTTGGAGTGCCAAAAAGCAACCCACCGTTGCACGATCAAGCTGTGAATCTGAGTATCGGGCTATGGCAAATACAACAGCTGAACTCATGTGGTTCATCTATCTGCTGCGTGATCTGCACATTTCTATGTCAACCCCAACTCTACTTTGTGATAACAAAAGTGCCATATTTTTGTCTCAAAATCCATTTGCTCATAAGCGCGCCAAGCACATTGACATTGACTACCATTTTGTTTGAGAATTAGTGTTATCAAAGAAGGTTATCACTCAGTTCATTCCTTCTCATCTTCAAATTGCAGATGTCTTCACTAAAAGCTTAGCTCGTCCTCTGTTTTAGTTCTTTCGTTCCAAGCTACGTTTTGGCCCAAATCCCACTCTTAGCTTGAGGGGGGATGTTAGGAAATAATATATCAGATTGTATATTACCTTATATAAATGATACGATTGATTCAGTCTTGGTTTGATTGAGTCATTTATTCCTTAATTGTAGGATCTAGACATATTGTAATCTCTATTTATTGTACTCTGTTCATAGTGAAATAAAATTGCACAAACACAGTTTTACCAATCCTTATATTGTGCTTCATCATTCTACTAAAACTTATCCTTCTTCAACAGTTGGGGTCAAAGGTTTAGCTATCTTACCATAGTCTCTAGCAAACCTTCTATAGTATCCTGTCAATCCCAAAAATCCCCTCAAAGCTTTAATATCCATTGGTATTGACCAATCCAACATCGCATCAATTTTTCATGGGTCTGCTGCCACCCCTCTGCTGAAATGATATGTCCTAAGTATTCCAATTGAGTTTGGTTGAAAGTATATTTTTTCTAGCAAACAATTGGTTCTCCTTCAACACTGTCAAAACGGCCCACAATGCCTCTGATGTCCTCCTCACTACGGCTTTAGCACCTTGTTCATAAGAGATTAAAATGTGAAAGGGGCATTGGTGAGTCCGAAAGGCATGACAACAAACTCATAATGCCCTTCATGAGTCCAAAAAGCCGTTTTATGGATGTCTTCTTCACGCATTCTGATCTGGTAGTAACCAGATCGTAAATCCAACTTAGAAAAAATCACCACTCCTCTCAATTCATCCAGCAATTCATCAATGATAGGAATAAGGAACTTATCTAGTATAGTAATCTTGTTAAGAGTCTGATAATCTACACAAAAATGCCATCCACCATCTTTTTTCTTCACCAAGATTATAGAACTAGAATAAGAACAGACACTAGGTCTAATTATACTAGAGTTAAGCATATCATCTACTAACCTTTCAATTTCATTCTTCTGGTAGTATGGGTACTTGTATGGTCTGATGTTGCTAGATATTAGACCCATCCTTCAACCTAATTGCATGGTCTTGCCTTCTAGGGGGTGGTAGTGCCTGCGGCTCTTGAAATACTTATTTGTAATCTTCCAAAACTGATTCTGTCCAAACGGGATAGGTTCCTGGTTCTCTGCTTTCAGCTTGCATCTGACGGTACTTCACTAGGAATCCTTGGCCTTGATCTCGTAAAGCCTTCAAGATAGACCTTAAGGAAGCTACGCCTCTAGTTAAATCGGGGTCTCCCTTTAGTACGTGATATTTGTCCGCAACTGGAATTCTAAGAGCTAATTCACGAAAATTTACTCTTATTTCTCCCAGCTTAGCCAGCCATTCCATTCCCACCACCACATCCACTCCTCCAAGATCAAAGACATAGAAATCTTGTTGAATTTTTAGACCTGCATCTCCAACTTCAATTTAGGACATACCCCTTCACAATCTAGCTTTCTCTTGTCACCCACCTCCACTGTATAAATAGAGGTTGCTTACATATCCAGTTCTTGTGTTTCACCAATATGGCTAAACTGAAATTATGAGAGGCTCCATAATTAATAAGTACTATGACCTATTCTTTCCTAATCTTACCCCACAACTTAATTGTTTTCTTTGACGTAAAGCCAGCAATGTTACACATAGATAATTGGAGGTCTTTTAGTTCTCCCTCTTCCTCAACCACCGTAGTTTCTCCCTCTGCATCCCCTTCTTCTTCCCCTTTGGCTAACACTAAAATTTGTAACTATTTGTTTGCACACACATGGCTTGGACCAAACTTTTCATCACACCTAAAACACAATCCCTTCCTAGACCTCTCTTATAGCTCTGCATCAGTTAACTCTCTAAAGCTTCTTCCTCTGAAGGTATTAGAAAATTTCACCACACTTCCCTTTCCTGTAGCATTTCTAGTTCCAAACGCTTGGACTGTTGCTTCGCTCCTTGTTCCCATGTCACCATGCGGTTACTGCTATACGTCCTCATTGGCCTGCTCATCGTACCTGCTGGATTTCCTCTTTTGGTGGACAGCTGGTTCTCCTCATTCACTCTCTATGCACAATCCATTAATTCAGCCAAGCTTTCTGTTGGATGAAGCTTTAATTCTACTTTAATTACTTTCATGAGGCCATATAAAAATATGCCCTTTAAGTACGTTGGTTTTGCACTCTTTAACAGACCAACATAGAGTTTGAACTTCTCTTTGTATTCTTCCACTGAACCTGTTTGTTTGAGACTCAACAACAATTCAAAAGGATTTTCAACCATGGTTGTTTAGAAATGCCTAATAATTGCTACCCTAAAATCCTCCCAGGTTGACTAGTGAGTGCGCCCAGAACTCCCACCATTGATATCAAGTGAACACTTTTCCTTTCATTGCCATCATAACCGCTTGTAATTTTTCTTCTCCAGACATCCTTTTTAAATCAAAATATCTCTCCACTCTGGTTGTCTAGCCATACGCATTCTCTCCATCAAAAGCAGGTATCTCTAACTTCCTCCACCTATCCACCTTGTATCGTCCACCATTGTGGCTTCCCTATGTTCCGCCTTGAGGAATTGTTTGGCTTCCATTACTATTCTCTTCCTCCTGTCTTGCATGAATTTCTTGCATTGAGGCCTGCACTTCATTTAACTATTCTGCACTCTTCTCCATTGTTTCATGCATTGCCAATAAGCCTTTGACCCCCTCTCTAATGCCTCCATTCTCGCCTCCATGCTGCGCATCAACACGATGAATGATCTCCAGTAACTTGTTGCTTTGATACCAGTTGATGGATACTAACTAATGTGAGAATAAAGACTGAATAATATTCAATTGAACTGATACGGAATTAAAAGTTACATAGGAAATTGAGCAAAACATATTGAGTACAAAGGCTTCCTCTCAAGATATTTGAGAGCCTGGTCTCTCCCTTCCCAAAACCACCCTAAAACTGCCTGCCCTCCTTCCTACCTTTTCTCCTATTTTTATTATGCTCGTAACTACTTAGAGGCAATTACACTTGCCCCCACTAATTAAAATAACAACTGCTAAAATAATTAATAATTGCTAAGATAATTCAATCCTATTAAAAAAACCTACGTCTTGGCTCTCTTTTTATAATGTTTACTTATAAGGGGTCTAACAAAACAACTACAAATGTTTTCTTAAAAGAGCCTCACGTCCTAATATCATGTTATGACTACCTTTTGGAAAAAGGAGAAATTATTTATTTCTCATGTGTATTGTCCCATCATCATATCCACAATTATATATTTTCTTTTCTACTAAGTAGAAAACATCCACTTTATTATTTAATATTAAAAATACATTAACATGGATTATGATAATTTAATAAGTAATTTAGCATCCCAAAAGTTTAGTTAAAAGATAATTTTTTAAAAACAACATATATAATTTTAATTAATTCTTTACATTAATATCAAAATCCCTTGTTTGGATGTTCACTTTTAGCCTAGATTTTTGTCAACTGCTTAATACTAGTAAAAACTTTTAACAGTCACGCACTTAAGCATCAAAATTGATTAAAACTTATCTATTCGCACCTTTGGACCGATAGGAGACCCATTTCTTTCAGCTGATGCAACAAAAAAGAATCGTAAGCAAATGTATATGGAAAATTTTAAAATAAAAGGGGGAGGGGTGGACAAAAAAGCAGAAATAAGCCTTATTTAGAATGGCTTACTAGTCAATCTTGCGCAAGGGTCTGTTAAGATACTTAAATTTCCTTGTTGGCATGGAATATTGGCTGCAAAATTTGCAGTGTAATAGTTCAACCCTATGAAATCAAAGGAACCTTTAACCATTAAGTATTCCCTTTCAGAAAACTTTGGCAAACGTTCCCCAACTTTATTAACCATCACAGCAGGATATGTACCAGAGTATAGTGGTTCCATGAACCTTAAAAAAAGCATAAAATGATGAGTATTAGAAGTAAAAGTGTCAACAAGCTTCATTAAAAAAATATATATGTGAAATATTATAAAATAAATAAAAGTGGAAACAAAGATGAGCACTTTAAAGTGGTAAGGATAGTTACCATTCATACATAAAAGCAAGGGCCCGAGATGCAGCATCTTTGTCGACTTTTGATTGGGATAGTGGCACAAACCAAGGAGCATTTAGTGCTATCCCAATTTGACCCTTTTGAGAAATCTATTAGAAAATAATAATTTATAGTCAATTGATTTTGTATTCATAACATGATTTCTATTCAATTCTAAACAATTTAATATATATAATGATGGATTCAAAATAATAATTATGTCGTAACCTGGTACTTCTCTCTATAGACTTCTACTGCTGTAGCATGAGCAAGAATTTGGTGGTGTGAAACTAAGTATGGCTCAGTACTAGAATCACCAACATCACAATTTGGGGACACCCCTTTAGAACATCTTGCTGGTGGGAAGCCACCAAGTGCATAACCCTGAAGGCTATAAAGTAGTGGTTCATTTACAGTTATCCAGTGCTTAACTCTATCTCCAAATTCTTTGAAACACAACTCTGCATAATATGCAAAATCTTGCCTGTGCAAAATTAAAATGTTAACATTTCTAGCTATTGAGAGTGATTGGGAAGAAGAGGGGTGTCCTTGCGTTGAAGAGAACAATGAGATATTACTGTTCTTACACAATTTTGGGACTTAGAAAACCATTGTATTCATCTTCAAGAGCTTGAGGGAGATCCCAGTGAAATAGGGTTATGTAAGGTTGTAGTCCTGTATTATATGGTACAAACCGTACAATGTAGTGTACATGTTAATTAAGTTTATTTTATTTGAGTTATCATAAATGTGAAAGTTAGAGAAATAGTTGACTTTTGTTGACCTTTTGATAGTATTTCATTTATGAGATTGTTGTAATATGTGATTCCCTCTTGGTTAACTCCTCCCTTGAAATTTCCACCTAAAAATAAACATAGGTTTTTAACATATTTACTTATTTACATAATGGACAAACCAATTTATATCTGTAACTCAATGTAAATTGATTACAATTAACTTCCACTAGTTAGGAGTATCGCCCAAACTAATGATACATATTAGCAATTTACTAAATATCAAAAAATAAAACAGGAAATTATAGAATTTCTTACTAGGTAGTATTCGGGACCAAGAAATGGAAAATCTGTAGGCTTGAAATCCAATATCCTTCATCATGTCTATGTCTTCCTGAATTATTTTTTTTTAAGGGTTCAAACAATATCATTATCATTTATCTAGTTGAAATCAAAGCTCAACAAATAAGGAAAGTCATTATCTCAAAACAAGAGCTTTAAATCCAAATTAAGATAATGACAGCACTTTGTAACGATGGTATGAATCAGTAGCAACATCCCCATTACTGTGATCTGCTATTCGATCTGAAGAACAAAGAAAATATCTCAAAGTTATCATTTAAAAGGCGATGTTGAATCAATCATGGGAAGGGAAATTTCAGGGATAAGTTTTCTATAAAGTTTTTAATAAACATTTCTTTTGGGAGAAATAAATTGAGGTGACAAAAGACTTTCTTCATATCAAAGCTAGACAAAAGATTGCAAATCAAGTAAATTACATTATTTAATCCAAATTAATCAGTTATCATGACATGAATCAATCCCCATATGAAATATATATCACACTTCTAAAATCTAAATTCTTCAAACATGGATTTTAAAGAGACAACAAATTGCCTTTGATCTTATAGTCGATAGTTCTTTGCTTACTCCAACGATGTGAGTTTATTAACTGATATTATTAATAGAAATACCCTTTGCATATTCTTATCGTATACTCCAACAACAGATTAAAGGCTACATAATTAAGAAGACTTTTAGTTTAAAATTGTTTAAGACATTTTAGACAAAGAAGTGATTTAAGCTTAAGTCTATTCACTTAAAAATAATTTAAAAAAATTAAATGCTATTTTACTAAAATGATAATAATTTAAAAGAAAAAGAAAACAAATTAAAGGAGGAAGTAAACAAGAGAGAGGGCCAAAGTACTAACCTGGATAACTATGAGTGAAGGTGTCCCATATGCTCGGCCCCCTGCCACCCTCGAAAGCAGCACCTTCATACTTCATACTCATCAATGCCACGTATAGGGATCAAAACAAATAAGATTCATACATTTATTCAAAGAGTAAATATACAATTTGATCCGTAAAAGCAGCATCTTAATTATTTAGTTTTGGTCTCTGACAATTCTATTTTGATTCTACAAATAAATCCTTAAATGTATTAAGATGCTCACATTAATTTTGGTCCTTCACTTGCAAAACTATAAGTAAAATTATATTTGGAGACAAAATTGTCCACATCCACATTTTTAGGGACTAATAATTCTAAAAAGAAAACCCAAAATGTGTGCAAATGGACACAATTGAAGACTATTGTACAAGCAAAATTTTTAGAGATAAAAAGTAAACAGAACATCACAACTAATTTGTATATTTTCTCTCACGTTAGTAACATAGTATCGTGAGAGTTGAAGGAGTATATTGTTAGCCATAACACATAATAAAACCTGATAAGCTGAAGATGCTGTTCCAAACACAAAATCTGCTGGGAAAGTGCTGCGGTTAAGAGAATCTACCGACAGAAACATGGCAATGGAAATAGTAAGCAGAAGAAGGCCCTTAAACCACATTGTTCGAATTTGAATTGATCCTTTGACTCCCTCACCCATAAACAAGTAACGAGCCGTTTATATTTTTCTATTGAAGAAGACAGAGACTTAGTCTTCAATAACCGAAGGTGTAAAGGAAAAGGATTCTGTTTTTTTTCTTGGTCTTGCATGCTTTGTCGTATTCCATGCATGAATGCGGTAATGGCTAAGAACGACAATTAGATCCCAAATGTGAATTATTAGATCAATTTTGATACATTTCCGTCATAAAATAATTATATTGTCAAATAACACTTTAATTATAATTTGTAAAGTAATTATTTTAATAGTATAATAATTTATAATTAAAATGATTTTACATTGTTAGAAGAACCAATTAAATTCTTGAAGTATTTTAACTCTACGGCGTCTTCTAGGTAAGTGATAACATGCTTAAATACAACCACAAAACTTTGCATGGTGCAAGGCTGCAGCTGCATATTGTATTTGTTGTAGAATTTTTCTGCGTGTACAAAAGTTTTTATCTACATTTTAAAACTTATGTGTTTTTTATTTATTCTATTTTTTTATTGTGAATATATCTTTCTAAATTATTTAATAAATGCAAATTTTGCCAATTCAACCGATAATTGTTATTATACTATCATAATATAAATGTATGATATAAGAATAGTTCTTTATTTATATTTAAATAATATATTGTATATTAAAATAAAGTGAAATGATAAAATATTAATTAATGTTTAAATTGTGTAAAATTTTATAAAATTAATTTACTTTAGGAGAAATTTAAATTTATTAGTTGAATTAATAAAACTGTTTTTTATAAAATTATTAAAATATTATTTATTAAATTTGAAAACTAATTTTATTTATTTAATTAAATAGAGTATTTGACATGATAGTCATTTAAGGTAATACTTATATAATTTATATTTATTATTTTTATTGTAAAGGAATTTCTTACTTTGATCTTTAATTTTTTAATGTTACCATTATTAATTATCATTTAATGATTTAAAGATGAAAATGATATACCAATAACATAAAGTTGTATAAATATATTTTTCTCTGTTAATTGTTTAGCAATAAATAGAATATTATTATTGTTATTATTATTATTATTATTATTATTATTATCTATCACTGCAATAATAATTTGTGGATAAATTCAGAGTAATGACAAATATTTATTGTTATGTAAAAAAATTACAATAATAATAATTGAACTTTCCGAATTCAAAAATTTAAAACATTACCTCATTTTAACCAATTTTAGGTTCTATTGTTTCTTTTGGAAATTTTTAATTCTATTTTAACCTTAATGAATAACGAATCATGTCTTCTTTTATTTTGATTCTCATTCCCTACTTTCAAGCATATCATATATACCTAAGTTGAGTAAAACTTGTGAATATCGTATTCTTTTATGGAACTTTTCCATTGTTGCATTTGCCAGCCTTGTAACCTGTTTCTTAATTTTTCTTGAATGGAAGAAAAATGCAGACAACTAGCAGATACAAATATGACCGGCCCCTTCGTCCATTATTCTTCGACATGAAGCCGGCCATAAACTTAGCTGAACCATGTCATACGAACAATTTATTCAACCAAGAATCTTGTAGAAATGATGCTTCACTATATTACACCTAGAGTCACGCTTCATATGTTAACAAAACTATAGTTAAGATAATATTATAACTATTTTATGCAGCTTACCAAATTAATAAATAAGACTTAGGGATTCTCGAGGGAATTTTAGTTTTAGAAAAATTTCAAATAACTCTTATTCATAAGAGCACACGCCACATAAAATTTAGGCACTACCAAGTATTTTGCGAATTAGGAGGATAAATTAATTGGGATGCTTCATATGCTAGAAAAGAACTTATATTGTTGTTCCACTTGGTCACTTTAGGCTACTAATTTATTTTATAAGAATCTACCTTGACCGAAAAAGCACTTAAATGGGCTTTAATTGTTTCTAGTTCGATATTTAAAAATTGAGCATGAGTTATAGGTGCATACTTTTATAACTTGAATATTATTGAATAAATTTTTCGGAAGTTAGATAAAAGAAAGATTAATATAATAAGAGTAAAAAATAATTAAACAAGTTTAAATTTGGCTTGCACAAAATATCTTAAAAAAATAATAATATAAATTATGATAGTAACATTAATTATGATGGTAGTAATGATAGTGATGGTGACAATGATGATAAAATTATGCATTCTGAAGATTAAATTTCATTTTGAAACATGATAAAATTATGTGTTCTGAAATGGAAGGATCTTATATTTTTGAATTAGATGAAAATATCTAAGATATATATAAAAATGTTACTGTGTGTCTTGAGTTAAATTTTTTTTAGAATTACTATGAACATTGGTGTTTCCTTGGATGTCAACCTTAATAGTCAAGCTATTAAGGAAAAATGTGAGGCTAAAATATATGGAACAAAATTTAAACAACTAATTACATGGTAAAAATAAAGAAGTAAAGGTCTTAAATCTAAATAATAATTTTTTCTTGATCAAATTTTCTTATATGGTTCATTCAAATGTAAACCCCTGTGTAGATTATTATCTGTTGATTCAAATGTAAAGAACCTTATTTAAACCAAGGGATCAAACTTTGAAAAAAGTTTCAACCTTAATAAAATTCCAGATTTTCCTATAAAACTTTATGATGAAAAATTTTATGGTAAATTGAATTAGTTTTAGAACCTCTGCTTAAAATTAATTCTAATACTACTATAATGGAAAGAGTTATATAGGATAGGATTTCATACTTGCCTATAAAACTGTATAGTAAAATTTTTTATGGCAAATTAGATCAGTGTTAAGAACTATGCCTAATTGATTCTAATATTATTGCCCAACTTATAAGCAAGTTGGCAAGAACTTGTGTTGAAATAGATCTTAGGAAAAATATTAATCCCCTCATTTAAAGTTTTGGTATAAGATTATTATATAGATTATAAGGAACTACACCTCATTTGTTTCTTATGTGGTAAGTATAGTCATTGGGTAAAATAGTATTCATATTTAAGTAGGAAAGAGAAGAGTGAACACAATAAAGAAATAGAAATAGAGACAAGAAGTAAAAAATGAGAGATCAAATGAGCTATATTTTAGTAAGGATGATAATGTGCAACAGAATAATGATAAAGCTAATTATAAATTAATAGATATCAAAATATATTTAGTCTGTGAATGCTAGTCAAAAGACTCCAAAACTAAGCAAATGATATCTCAATCCAAGGTTAGTATGGATATAGCCATTGTTAAGCAAAGAAAAATAGATATTAGAAAAGGAAAGAAAAGAAAATGAAGTTATGTCTATTAGGAACATCTTCCAAAAAGAAATTGTTAAAACTTATAAAGAGGGGGATCGCATTAAGGATTTCATGGAATAAGTATTAGGAAGAATTAGGATTATACACCTTTTGAAGAAAAATTCCCTAGTAATAAACCTTTAAACTATGAGTAAAAAATGAAAATATGAGTAATCGTGAAAATTGCAAATAGATTGACAAAGACATTATTAAGGTAAAAATTAACTCCTTAACTTCAAATTAGTGAACTTTGTGTTTTAGAATTATAAATGGACTAGTAGTAAAACTCTTTTTTAAACTGATAAATAATCTTAGACAATTGTATAAAATATCTATTTAGGTTTGGTTTCGATGTCATTTCAAGGAGGAGAGCGAAGGGAAGGGAAATGGAAGATTTGTTTATAATTAAACCTTGTTTGAGAGTTCAAAAATAGGAAAAAAGATTAGGGCGTTTTTATAAACCCAACATTTCTAAAACTATTATAGCTTAATTTTTTGAGTTTCCAATTTGGGATTTATATATATATATATATATATATATGAAATGACTAATTTACCCTTGTGAAATTGTGAATCTCTTATCTTTTCTTAATCTTGCTCCTTTTCATGATTAGGTTATCTCCCTTTCTTGCTTTCTCTCGTCTCGTTTCTTGATTGAGATTTGCAAGATTTTTACTTTTTTTTCTTTGTTTTGTGTTCTCGATTATTCATTTTTCAGGTTGTAAATTTATTTCTTATGTTTTTTTGTGGTGGAAAACTCTTGAAACGATGGTTCTCCCAAAATTTGCTACCTTTCTCTGTGTGGAACACGATTTTAACCTCCAAGTATTGAAAATAACATAATTCAGTTTTTTAGTCATAAGATGAAAGGAATGTTAGATTAACTTTATAGATTATTATATAATGGATTATTGTGAATTTGTGATATATAATTGTCTACCTCAAGAATATATATCTAATGCCTTCTAAATCATATATTTTGTTCTTTCTTCTTTTAAAATATTTCACATGTGTGTGTGTGAATGATTGTTGGATTACATGTGTATATAACTATGATTTTTATTAACAGAAAAAAAATAAGAGAATATAATAATATCCTGATATAATTGATAGGTCATGAAAAGGATATTTTATGTTTTTTATGTACAAATTTTTATTTTTATATCATATTATTGAATAGGATTAGCTTTGTTTATTAATATTTTAAATGAACTATCTTGCTATCTAATTTATCTAACCATTTGTAGAATCATCGCCAATTTGTATTACTCTACCCTTATTCCATTAACTTCCTTACAAGTAAAACCATAGAAACATAATTCATAGGCAGTTAGGAAACACCTGCAACATCTTGTTCTTTAATTAAATACAATAAAAATGTATTATCAATATTATAAAAAAATATATTAATTTTCATGGTCATTTGACTTAAGACTTACTTATGTTTTTCCTAGATGGGATGGCATTGCATTTCATTCAAGAATATTAAACTATGCACTACATAGAACCAATGTCTTAAAATTCCTTAAGGAAATTAAAATATATTTTTCTTCTTCTCCCAATATATACATATATTTTAGTAATAATATTTTTTTTCCTAAGTAAATATTAGTCTTGATGCTAGATTCATGTTGAGAAAGGGAATAATCACACCATTTAG